CGTCCTTATATATATGAATAAAAGCCAGATTTAAAAATTCTAGAGCTGCTTGTAATATGTATTGGGTTGCCATAACAAAATTCTGATTCTGTCTTAAGATGGCATTAGAAGTGTTTACTTTTAACTTATTTCATTAAAAAGATTGTTTTTGATTGGATTCTAATAGCTGTTACCTCAGCATGTTTTTGTTTACTGAGTCAACATGCAAAAAAAAAAAAGAAAAGAAAAGATATTTTTTGGTATATTATATTTATATTCTATTTTAAGAAAAGTAAAAAATTCAACTTGAATGCACAAAAAAGATTTGTGAAGTTTATGAAGAAGGTACTGTGAAAGATCAAACATGTCAAAAGTGGTTTGCAAAGTTTAGTACTGGAGATTTCTTTCTGAACAATGCTGCACAAGTAAACAAGTCAGAGATGGATATCAATCAAATGAAGACATTACTTGAGAATGATTAACAATACAAGAGACAGCCAATTGGATCAGAAAATACAAATCAAACAGTGAAAATCTTTTCCAAAAAGTGGATAGTTACAACAATGTGAACCATAACAGAAATGAACTCAACTGTATCAAAGGCTCGTCTTCTTGTAAAGATGGTGATGCTGTATACATGGTGGGGAATGAAGTGAGTTCCTGAATACTAGTTCATTCTAGAGGACCAGTTGATTGATTCAAATCAGCAATTAGCAAAATATGTCCAAAATTAGTTAAGAAAAAGACCATAAGATTCTCTTAGGATAATTCAGGTTTCTTTGGTAACCAGGCAAGCAAAAAGGTTGTGTCAATTTGGCTGACAAGTTTCCACCTACCTGGCTTTTTAAACAGATATTGCACCTTCAGATTACCATTAATTCTGGTCCTTACAAAATTGTCTTTTTAAAAAAAAAAAAAAAGTCCATTCTTTGGAAGACTGCAAAAGGCACCTTGAAGAACATATTGCTGATAAAAAGTTCTGAGAAGATAGAATTATGTAATTGACTGAAAGATGACAGAAGATAATGGAAAAACAAAAAATGATGAATAAAGCAGTTCAATAAAGTTAATGTTGAAAATAAAAAATAAAAATCCCAATTTTTTTATTTTAATTTTTTGCTACTTGATATGGTGAGGAGGGATACAAAGAAAAGACTGAAAAACAATGGTACTATATGTATGTAATGGCATCTGTCAGTTTCATGAGAGATGATGGATCTGCACACAAAAAGAATTATGCACAAACCTGGGCAGGATTTTTTTTTGAAAATGAGAGATCGGCAGTTGACCATGTAGCATGTCCCACCTCTCCAAGCACCACTGATGTGGTCCAAAGGAAAGACACGAGAATACAGTTTGGCACCAGTGTTTTCACAGGAATTAACAGAATGAAATTGAACATGACATTGGAGTGTCTGAGAAACACTGGCTGTGGATTTTAATTTAGAGTTGTCCTCATAATCTGGTTGCCAACCATAGCTGCAGAGCCCAAACTACCCTACTATTTACCCATAATTGGAGGTTGTGAATTCAGAATTTTTCTTTCTCCTAGACCAGTTGCTACTTAACACTATAGCATCCTGCTATTTACCCATAGCTGGGAGAGGGGAGGAGAGAGGTAGAAGAGATTAACATTACATCTTCTTTGCCTAAATTAATTACCTTATTTTCTTGTTACTATTACAGCATTAATGTGTTATATATATATATATATATGAAAAACAGTGCTCAATACTAAATAAAAGACCTATTAAGTATATATTAGTAAAAATACATAGTACCATATGCTACTAAGTGAGGACATCATTATTTATAGCATAAATGATTTCTATTTCATTTCTGTTATGTTTAAAAAAAAAAAAAAAAAAAAAAAAAGAAAAAAGAAACTTTTCAATATTTCTGTTTATGTACAACTATTTCATAATTTGTCATTTCTACTTTTTTTTTTAGATAATGTTTTATATATTTAGAAAGAAAGTTAATTTTCTTGGAGTTTCTAAAACATGTAATGTATATATACATACATATATGTCCCAAAGGTTGTCATAGCCAGGGTGATAGATTCTAATTTCTATAAAATACTCCCATGGCAGGCATCTCAAATAGCCCCTGACGACAAATCCAGCTCCAAACTGGGGGAATAGTCAAATGAAGAAAATTGATGCCACATAACCTGCTGCTATGGGTAGATGAAGCTTGACATGCCAGGAAAGTGCAGTCCATCTAAGGGAAGTAAAACCCTGGTTCTAAACATTCACTACCGTCCGGTCATATTCAAACATAGAAAAGGCTATGAAAGTAAATCCAGACTGGAGGATCTTTGAATGTGACTGGCTGCCAACACTGATAACTTTTTGGCATCTCCCACAGTCAAACTGGCCACAAAAGTAATGCCCTGTATTCTTTTGTTGGTATACCCGAGAGAGAGGGTTGACATAGACTCCACATGTTATTCCCCATCCCTGGAATGGACACTCCAGTCACACCACCAAATTGACTGAATTTTGACCAAGCCAAATGAGATTATATATATATATATATATATATATATATTACTGACCCTAACTGGAATTATATCATATTCATATTTTCTAAGTTACATTTAGGAAATAAATTGGCTGTTTGGCATTGTTATTCACCATTATGATAAGGACTAACTTATATAATAGGTATATTATTAATCATATTAAGACATTATTACCTATATAATACATATATACAATATGTCTATTGCCACACACAAGTCATACACAATAAATTCATAAATTTTGAACTAAAAATTCTGAGAGTTGTTCAAAATACCGATCTCATTTTTGTTGTTAAAAAAAAAAAAAAAACTTTCACTCACCCCATTCTTTGGTTTTCATGTAAAAAAAAAAAAAAAAAAAAAATTATTTCAATTATTGTCTGCTAATTCTAAAAAAACAGAGTTGAGGACATTACTTTCTTTGGCAGATTTTTTTTTCAATATGAATTATATCCATGAAGAAGGCTGAAGAATGGATCAGCTGAAATGTGGGAAAGCAAAACAAAAATGATTGCAACAAAACATGAGATTAACTCCTTAATACCCACCCTCCAATTTTAGGGTGAGTTGGCGTCAATGAGTTAAAGATAGAAATCTTTAATTAATACTGGATTTTTATAAACCGATAATAAATACTGGAATTTTATTTCAATTTTCATAATTAATGCCAGTTTTTAAAGTGGACATTAATAGGTTGATAATCTGAACAACTCAGAATGAGAAAGGCTCATCTCAAAATTACAAAATATTTTAAGGTTGGTTAAATCACCAGCTCAACAATTGAAATTTGAAAAGTTAAAAGAAAAATTTCATGTCTGACAAGTGTATGCTTATAAATGAAAATGACCTTTCCTTTTTGTAAGAAAAAAAAATTATTTATAATAATGTTGACTCAGACAGTCCCCCATTTTAAGAAAAAAAAAAAAAAAAAAAAAACCTGCTTTAATATGAGGTGTGCCAAAAACATTTTTCCATCAATTTGTTTCTTGATTTTTTTCTCTGAAGATGTACCTAGGTTAACTCTACATAGAAATGTAATCAACAGAATTAAAATTAAAGAAATAAAAAATAATAAAAAACACACACACTGAAAATTAATTTGTTCTTACCTATAACAAAAATCAGAACCAGATAATATTAGATCAAAATAAACTGCAGATTTCCAATATTTGGATTTTAAACAGCACCATACATTTGCTGTGTCTATTGCCACACACAAGTCAGGTTTTTCCAGTAACCTTTGAGGAAATTCATTAACACACATTAATTTATCATACACAATAAATTATCTAACAATATAGAAGCATTTATATCAAGAATAGGTGACCATTTTTATATCAATAATCTTAGAATGTCATGCAACTACATAAAAGGCAGTATATACATTTAGATAAAAAAAAAAAAAAAGGCTGACAAATTTTATTCAAACAAGTGAAAAACCTATAATTTTTGTGACATTGGCATGTGAAAAACTATTTAAAGGACTAAGAAAAGAGAATGAATAACAGTTATAGAAAGGATGTAAGGATACTGATACAATCAATAAAAAGAAACCATAGTTTATTACCGGGAAAATGGAGACATGAAATCTATTTTCAAGCTTTACTATTTTTTCCAGGAAACTAATGAAATTTACTTTGACTATTTCTCAGGAATCCTCATTCCAATTTATTTAGGTGAACAGGATTTGACTCCTCATCTAGTTACATGTCTGCATATATGCTCACTGGACAACAGTTTCTCCATGGCAAACAACATATTCAGAATCCCCAGGAGACACATAAAACTAAGCTATAGCTCAGATGTGTTCTCATTGAAGTTTAGAATGCCAAATCGTAGGAGACAAGATTGTCATTACATAAAATGAAAGAAATGTCAAAGAAAACCTTTTTGAAATTTTCAGATATTTTAATATTATAAACAATGTCGTCTTTATAGCATTGTTTATGCTGACACATATTGTACCAGTAGCTTTTGAGGTTTGACATTGTTTCCAAGGCAGATCACCAAGTTTATTGTAGCAAGACTAAACTAGTGATAAACTAAGTCTAACAAGAAAATGTAAAGCATGAACTTTTATGAGAACTGCTTGAAATATCTTTCACTTGCAATGCTATTTTTGGACAATAAAATCACTTGCAATGCCATTTATTACAGTAAAACCCTTGTAAACAGATTTCTATTATCAATAATTTGTAGTGTATTTCTTTTGCTTCATCAAATTTCAAAGAAAAATGTTTGAGATTTTTTTTAAACCTGTTCTTTTTCCTCAAAACCTGGGATCAACCAAAACTTATATGCAATTATAGACAGTAATTTCAAATAAAAATGTAGATCAAATTAATTTACTTAACTTCAGTTCATTAATCTATCAAGTTAAGCAATCCCTTTGGTCAGGTTGAAAAAAAAAAAAAAAAAAAAAAGTAAAAGAAAAGAAAAAGAAAAAAAAAGAAAAAAAAAAAAAAAGAAATCACTTCCCCCACCCTCATCCAAATTATTGCAGCAAGGTCTGAATATTATGAGTTGTTTCTTGGCCTTCACACTTTTGTTGGTCAAGGGTATACAGATTAGGATTAACCCAACCAGTTGCCCATGTTGAGCTGACTGGAAAGCCGTTTGTCCAGGCATAATGATTTGCAGTGGCCATAGCTACAGGCTGCTGGAGTGTGATTGGTTGGGGAGTGTAGTTTCCTGGCGCTATCGATCCGGGACTAATTGTTATGGTAGCAGTCTGGCCAGGGGCTGTCTGGAGAAGGGGCTGTCGTAAAGTTGTAGCAACAACCGGTTGTGATAATAATTGGTGGACATTGGTGGATGATGAAGTGGTCAGCTGCTGTTGCGGTTGTTGCTGTTGGAGGGAGATCTGCTGAAGTGGAGGTACGTTTGTTAATTGAATATGTTGTGGTGGTGGAGGAGGAGGCGGTTGTGGTTGGGAAAGGCCACTTGAGGAATTCAGATTAATAGATATAGACCCATGAAGCTCTTCATGGGTTTGGTTGTGGGTCAGTTCATGCAGATCTAGCTGATTTTGGGTTGCAAATATTTTGGGGCAATATTTACATTTAGGAGGTTTCTGATCGATAAGCAGCTGCTGCTGCTGCTGCTGTTGCTGTTGTGTACTGTTCGCAGGGGCTCCAATAGTGCCAGCACCAATGCCACAATCGCCATTATTGTTATCTGCTGCACCTACAGTGGGAAGCATTTCTCCAGTAGTATGCGTCCGCTCGTGTTTGTTTAAATGGTCCTTTCGAGAGTATGCCTTCGAACAGACAAAACATTCATAGGGTTTCTCACCACTGTGGGTCCTCTGGTGTTTTTTTAGATGGTCCCGTCGTGAGAATGCCTTCATGCAAACACCACATTGGAATGGCCTCTCTCCTGTATGCGTCCGTTGGTGTTTGCGTAAGTGATCTTTTCTTGCAAAAGATTTATGACACACTCCACAAAGATAAGGCCGCTCTCGGGGTAAGTACATAACACCATTCTGGCCACCCTCTCCAGTTCCATTAGCTATGAGAACTCCATTAGGGCCTCCTGCTTCTAACCCTACACCATGATGTGTACGTTCGTGGTTTTTCATTCGGTCACGTTGGGAGAATGCCTTGTCACAGTGGCTGCATGAAAAAGGCTTCTCACCAGAGTGGGTCCTTTCATGATTTTTTAGCTTGTCACGCTGAGAGAATGCTTTACCACATTCTTGACAGTAAAAATGTTTCTCATCTTCAGGGGCTAACTGGTGTCGGTTAAGGTATGCCCGAAGAGTAAAACCTTTCCGACACACACTGCACCTGTATGGCTTCCGGCTGTTACCAAAGCTGCCTAAATCAAAGATTTGTTTTGGTTGTTGTGGAACAATTATGGTGTCCTGCTGTTGATGATGTTGATGATGGTGATGGTGGTGGTGATGGTGATGTTGCTGCTGCTGGTTTTGTTGGTGTTGGTGTTGCTGCTGTTGTTGCTGCTGCTGTTGTTGTTGCTGCTGCTGTTGAGTCAGCATTTCACCTGAAGTCAAGTGACCATTGGGTTGGGGTGTATAAACCTCTTGCTTAGGAAATACTTCACTCCTTTCTGTTGTTGGGCAAGAAGCAGTGGACGATGGAACTGAATACATTTTTTTTTTAAATTTCTCCCTGACCTTTTAAGATCTGCTTTTTGCTTTAAGGCCACTTAATGCCAACTTTTTTTTTGGAGGGAAAGGTAAATAAAAAAAAAAAAATGTTTGTCTCTCTTTTTGGGTAATTTTAAGTTGATTCACAGTTTATAATGATTCCATGAGTGTGTGAATAGTTGTGTTTATTCCAGTAGAATGAAAGACTGTCTTCTCTTTGGTTTGAATGTTGCATGCTGGGAATGAAATAAAAAATAAATCATTAAATGGATCAGTTATATAAAGTGAAAAAGAGAGAGAAAGGAAAGGAACAAGTGTGTTTGAGTGCATGTGAAAGGGACCATGTATTTGTATGAGAGATTATGTAAAGAGAGAAGGAAAGGGACCATATATTTGTGTATGTGAGAGAGAGAAAGAAGGACCATGTATTTGAGTATGAGAGAGAGAGAAGGAAAGGGACCATATATTTGTGTATGTGAGAGAGAGAAGGAAAGGGACCATGTATTTGTGTATGTGAGAGAGAGAAGAGAAGGAAAGGGACCAAATATTTGTGTATGTGAGAGGAGAGAGTCCATGTATTTGTGTATACGTGAGAGAGAGAAGGAAAGGGACCATGTATTTGTGTATGTGAGAGTGAGAGAGAAGGAAAGGGACCATGTATTTGTGTATGTGAGAGTGAGAGAGAAGGAAAGGGACCATGTATTTGTGTATGTGAGAGTGAGAGAGAAGGAAAGGGACCATGTATTTGTGTATGTGAGAGTGAGAGAGAAGGAAAGGGACCATGTATTTGTGTATGTGAGAGTGAGAGAGAGATACACAAAGGCTGAAATGTGATGACAACAACAAAGATGAGGACAATGGTCTGTGTGTAAATAAATTCAAATAACAATATTTATGGATCAAGTGAAGATTGTTTGCATCTTTTCTAAAATAATTAATGGACTCCTGATTGTACTCATTTTAGATCAGTGATTCTTAATATTTCTTTGGCCACACCCCACCTAAGCATACCTAAAATCCTGATACCCCTGCCTCATAATTCTTATTATTCAAAAAGTGAAATCCTATTCATGTGGATGAAGCCTAAAAGGGTATTAACTTAAATTTACTTAAGAACTTGAGACTTCATATATGCAATAGTATTATAATTTAACTTCAGAATTTTACCACATTACACACACACACACACACACACACAGAGTGTGATAGATAAATTGTCATCTAAATTACGCAAAAATGAAAATACTGACATCTCATTTTAACAGATTTACCAAAAACACACAAAAATATCTTTAAATACTAAAGAGTAAATTTATTCAATAAAATCATCATTAGTTTCAACCACAGCTTCCAGACAACTTCAGAATCTCCTGCAACTCTTCTGGACGATCTCCTTGTTTAAGTTAGTGAATGCTGCCATAATAATCCTTGCCTTCAGTTCATCTTTGGTGTTACAGGAAGTTTTGTTGGTCCTTCGCTCAACTATTCCCCACACATAATAATCATGGGGGTTGCAGTCTGGGGAGTTAGGTGCCTAGTTGTAAGGGGTGATGTGGCTGCAGAAATTGTCTGACAGCCATGACTGGGTTCTCCTGCTTGTGTGGCATGGTGCAGAGTCCTGTTGCTAGATATAGGGACTTCCTGCAGCCATCCTCTTGACCCAGATCAGCACTACCCCCTCAAGGCACTTGATGTAGGCCTCTGTGTTGAGTCAGAGGCCCTGTGGGAAGATGAATGGAAATAACCATCCCTAGTGATCACTCCAAACTCCTTTGTAATTATGATTAGGCTCACGCAACACTTTTCCAAATCCTCTGCATTGTCCTCAGATTGACACCCAAACACTCTGAAATGTTTGTATTGTTTGTTTAGTCAATTGCATCATGGTGCTCTTTTTCTCACAGACGGTGAGCTTAACTGACCTTACTGATACTGTACAATTGACAAAATCAAAAAATGTCCATGTGCAAAATTAAAAATATAAAATGGTGACCATTGCACTCTGTATATATGCACACACACATTACATACAAACACAAATATTTTTATATATGCATACTGTATATGTACAGTATTTACATTAGTCGGACTATTGCCCTCATCTTTGTCGCCATATTTTCGGCTGTTGTACACTCTGGCCTTCTTCAGGTGGTTGGAATTTCGAACTGAACCCTTTATTTCAATCACAGGGGGAGACTGTTCTAGTTCCTTGTGCCATGTTTGATGGATAAAAAAATGCATGCTAATTTTCCCTTAACCCTGCCTTTAACCGGGTATTGAACTCACATTCTTTGGGTCTGTCACTGGATCTAACCAACGCCTTTATCCACTGTGCCATGTGTCCTTGAGGACATCTGGGTATAAACTTCTGGGTATTATAGACCTATATACATGAGGAAATGGCATTAGAATCTATATCTCTAAAGCCAACTATATGGTTAAGGTATGTAGATGACACCTTCATACTCTGGTAACACCAGGAAGATGTTCAGGTTCTACTGGACCATGTGAACTCCATAAGACCTTTGATACAGTTCACAATGGAGAAAGAGAGTAACAACACACTCCCATTCCTGGATGTTCTAATATATCTTAACAGAGCATAGGTTTTTGACACATCAATATACTGTAAACTGACATTCACTGGACAGTATCTCAATTTCAACTCCCACCATCCATAAAAACAAAGAAAGGGATCTTCTGTTGCTTACAACACTGAGCAAAAGTCATAAGTGGTGACCCAGAGACGTTAGATAAAGAATTGGTCAGTATAAGTAGTACCCTACAACGTAACAACTACCCTGGGTACATGGCAGCAGCCCCCAAAACTGGGATAGGCGGGTACAAGAGGAGGAGGACAACAACACTCAGAAAACAGTCTGTCTGCCTTATATGAAGGGGTTATCAGAGAAAATACAAAGGATCTGCGGTCCACATAACATCAGGACAACCTTCAAAAGTTTGACAAAAAATTGCAGATATCTCTCAAAAGTAAGACCCCCACAGAGGAGAACATGACTAAAGACTGTGTGTATGCTATCCCGTGCAGCTGCAGAAAGGAATATAAAGGAGAGACAGGCTGCCCCCCTCAAGGTAAGGCTTCAAGAACACCAGAAAGCTGTAATGATGAGGGGAAGTAGAAAAAATCAGGCATGGCTGACCACATATATGGAGAGAGAAGGGAGATCACTGTCCCCTATGGGATCATGTTGAGATCATAGATAGGGAACACCATTGGAAAATTTGTAAACTTAAGGAATCAGCACATATGCTAGGCCACAAAAATCTCCTGAACCGGCCAAGCATAGAAATAAATACAATATGGGAACCAGTAATAAGGAGTGCCAGAGAAAAGCAATGATAACAAAGTTGCAATATGAACTCTGGTAAAAACATGCAATGATAACAGCAAAATTGCAATATGAGCACTGGTAAAAAATGGTTGCTGAAAACATTAGTTTTATAATACCCAGATGTCCTCAAGGACACATGGCACAGTGGATAAAGGTGTTGGTTAGATCCAGTGACAGACCCAAAGAATGTGAGTTCAATACCCAGTTAAAGTAGTGGAGAACTTTCAGAGGGAAAATTAGCAGGATATCCATCTAGAACAGTCTACCCCCAGTTTGAAATTCCAACCGAAATAGAGAAATATTTATAAAAAAAGATGAGGATTTTAGTCCACACTAATGTTCAGTTGTACATAAATACCTCAGGACAAAGAAATATAGACTGAATATATAAATATATGCACTGTATGTTTTAACAAAGATACACACACTTGCTCCGAAAAAAAAAGTAACTGTTAATAACTCATTCTTGAACTGACCCCCAAACTCCTGTTGGGTGTGTCCAGCATTGGGAAAATGACTACCAGACAAGTAATTAATGCCGTTCTGATACACAAAGAAGGGTTAAAAACATTATTGGTATGACCTATTTCTCAAAAAATCAAAATACCAATTTTAGAAATAAGACCAATCCATGGACTTTTCAATACTAATGAATAAATAAAACAAATAAGTGACTGATAATATAATAAAAAAAATAGTTGAACCATAGAAAATTGAAAGTATTTTCTAATTTTATCTCAAGGATGAAATGGGTTTGGTTTAATTTTTTGTGGTTATTAGAGGTTATTACAGGTCAATTTAATGTCAAAACTGGATTTTCATCCAAATAGAAAGTAATAAGAAAACATTTAATTTAAAAAAACAAAATTGTGATTCTTTTTTTATAAAAATTATAAGAAAATTTGATATATTTTTTGTATTTATACATTTTTAATATTCTGTTTTAGATTTATTAGCTAAACATTTTAATGGAATATTTTTTATTAATCAATCAACATTTATTAATGATAAAGTTAAAAAATATTTTGATTGCAAGATTTTTTTTTTTTAAATTTTTTCAGGATGACTAAATTTATTTTTCATGACAGTTCCAAAACAATGGTGAAAAAGTTTGTGCGG